AAAAATACAATAGCCCAAACTTCTTTTTAAAATAAATGCAAATAATCATTATGTTGAATTTAGCATGTGTGTCCGTCATGTGGATACAGGTATCCAAAAGTCAAAGTTGCCAAAAAGTCGATGGATACAGACTTGAAGTACCATCTATGTATTCTATCTCAGAATTATCCAGCAAGCACCATATACAATAGGGAAAAAAATATCTATAATTTTTGGAGTATCCGGGCTTCATAGCTTGGTAGTAATTCCCCTACCAAAATTTCAGTAATGTCCTTGGCAGTTATGGGACATAGGATAGAATTCCACCTTCACATGAGATAGGAGTTTACAAAAAAGATGCTATTTCTGTAGAGCAAGGTCCAAACATGAGTAAAGCAATGAGGCTAGTAACTTTTCAAGCAGTCTATCCCCTTAAAGTAATATGGAGAAATTAGGTTCACATCCTTCTTTTTGCTACTTCATTGATTAAAATCCTATTCATTTTCAATTTTTGATCAAGGTCCTTGGATATTAATAATATCATTAATTATTTGAATAATAAAATATTTTTATTTTTAAATATATTCCTTTAGTATTAAAAATGTTACAATTAGTATATTTGCATATTTAATCAATGATATAAAAATTACATATGGTATATTTATGTTTTATGCCTAAACTTTGTATCATAAATTTATATTTTTAGTTTGTACCCACTTTTAGTTTGCAACATTTTTTAAATTTGTAGTATTTTCTTTTTAGTTTTATTTCGTACCCATGTATTAATTTCTTTTAGCGCCTATATTTTTAAAAAATTCATTTGTACTCATAATTGTTTATTCTTTTATCTATACCCTAATTTATTTATAATGTACCCATTCTTCTTTATTAATGTACTACTTTGTTATATGTGAAATGTACCAATTTTTTTTAACACTATGGATACATTCTTTTGCCATTTATTATTTCTTATTTTTACATAGTTTTTATCCATTTATTCAATCAAAATGTTTGAATTTTTTTATTGTAACCGTTTCTAATAGTATTATAATGAGGGATTTTAAATTTATAGGATTATAAATCTCATAAAATATCAAAAAATTAATGTCAAAACTATAAAAATATAAATATTAATTGTAATATAATGAGTTGTACAAAGTCAAAGGACTTTGATCAAACTTTGAATACCATTAAGGTTTTAGTCAAAGAATGTTAAGAATTAGGGATCGCATCCAAAGTATCCCAAGTAATATACTTTACAAGGTAATGTAGCAAGGTTGCAAAATGGCAAGTTAGAAAGGATATTTGAAATATTCATCACTTAAAAATGGTACTGCTTATGCTGGAACTTACAAGTGGTGTGAAAACCAAAGGATGAGTCGTGTTTGACATTCCATATCTAAATCAGCTATTTTGTCAAAAAGAGCTCGTACAGCACCAGCAACTACTGCAGGAAAGGCTCCGGGAAGAGCCTAAGAATTAAACTTCATTGTCAGATTGCTTTAAATTGACGTCTACTTCAATTCAACCAGACAAAAGACCAAGACAGAGACAAAATAATCGCATTCATATTACCTTACAGAGGTCGATAATAACTAGTGTGTAATATATTGGCCTGAAAGGGGGTTGTGGTAGCATAAGCAACTGCGCAAATATAAAAACACATCATTTTGCTTTACATAAGAAAGTTTAAACTATACAATTTTATAATGATATAGTCAAGGAACAAATCTGTTAAAAAAAATAATGTCCAAGAAAGCAGGGAAAATATGGATCTAATCCTATCTTATTCCGTTAAGCTTGCTCAGTGGAGTTAAAGTTATTGAAATCTGTACTCAAAGGGAAAATTTATAAACTTTTTCTACTTTGGGAAGTTCATTTGTTACTCTACTCAATGAAAAATATACTCAATAAAATTATATTGAATTCTAATATGAATCTCATTATCAAACTCCATGTTAGACTATTATATACTTTGTGACAAAAATCCGTAATTAACATATAATTGTAAAAGAATAATTTGCATTTTAAGCTATTTCATCATCAATAAATTCATTTACAATCTTTATAACCCTATAACATGGTATTTCCCCCTAAAATATCCTTAAAGATTTGAACAATAAATCAAGATGAATTTAAACAAAAGGCACCCATATTAATTTAGAAAACGATTCCATAACCTTAAATAAATGAAAAAATCTTCCAAGAGTTATTAATCAGCTAGCAAATTGGGATTGAAAATTAAATTCAGACTGCCAATGTTTTATGTCCATATGGATGTATACAGATTATTTCTCCAAATAAAAGAAAAAACTCTCCTTGAAATATTTCCATTGAAATGAAGATAAACCGATTGTTCCAAAACCTAAAACCTAGGCAAACTATATGCAGCTTTGGAGAATCACCCTACAAAAGGATTACTTGCAAATAACACTGGAAAAACTGTAGCAACCAAACTGAAGAAACAACTCCACCCATACAGCCCATTTAACTCTTGGCTCATAACTAAGCCACCAAATATTGCTACAATGTGTTAAACTCATATGATTAACAAATCATATATATTTCACGTATGGATAAAGTATGACTGGAAAGAGAATAAAATACCTAATCAAAATATGAACTAAAAGACAGCAAAAATGCAAAGGTTAACAACTTACCTGGGAGAAAATTGTCTCTGCCATAAGATACTCATATCTAAAGGGCACAGGTAGGCCAGCCATATATGAAGCGCATTCTTTTCGACTAGCTTTGCATGAAAGAAGAACAAAATAGAATAAATGTTAAGGGCAAAAATCAAATAAAAACAGAAATAACAAAGAATTCTAAGTACAAGGACTCAGAAAGTAAAACTGCAGTGTTTAATATCAATTCACCTGCATACACATTAATGAATACAAGATGGTAAGATAACACCAAGTAATCCAGATTTCAAAACACCAGTAAAATTTCAACTAGGTATCTGCTTGTTTTTCTCTTCCACGCATCTAGCTAGTTTAAAAAATCTTACAACTAAAACCGCTAAAAGGGAACACCCAAATTATGCTTCTCTGCCCCCAATCAATGCTTTGGTACCATTAGCAGGACATGACTTAAAAGCAACAAACTTATTTGTTCACATGAACAAACAAACACAACAAATATATCGCTGCAAGCCTCCAACAGAATATCCAAAATCACAACCTCTCCTCAACCCGCACTTATACATTATTTTGCAAAGACAGACACAAATTAAGCAATATGACATGCATCAAAATTTGACTATTAGGTTTGAATGTTTAAATGCCTCAAACGAGTTTGATTTTACATAGTATCTGACTAAATTATCTAACATTTTAAAATGAAGTTCATCCTTTCCAATAAATGCATAAACTAAGCAGTTAGCCATCACACAATTCTGCTATCATATACATTATAAAACCCTTTCGGAACAATAAAAACACAAGACACCTAACAGTATCTTTTCAAGAGAAAAATGAGTTGGTCTATTGGTTTGAACTGGTAGCATATACTCAATTCCAAAAAGAAAAAGAAAAAAGCAGAATACAAAGTGATACTACTCATCAGAAAGTCAACAAACTAATTAAAGTGAGCAAGCTACAAGAAATTTAGTTATGTCTTCTATTAGGAGGTCATTGAGAGGTACAAACCAGCCATTTAAGTAAAATAGCACATCTAGCAGATACTCTTCCACGATGAAGCGATCCATGGGTTGCACATCCTGTCATCAATAAAATCGATGTGCAAAATTTATTGCAGAAATACATTCAAAACAAGCAGAAAAAAGTATGCAATGAACATGATATAAGCTAGTAACTCAAAATAATAAAGTAAAAATGACAACATATGACAGAATCCATTAAGTTTATACTGAAATCAGAACTGTGGAAAACGGTACCAGTACCAGATGCAACCAAATTCTTCTGTTGCCTATAGAGGATCCATATTTATTAATTTATCCCATATTATCGTTCTCTTCTTAACTGTGCACTGTTCAAAAACTTCTTGACATAATTGGACTACATACTGAACAGAAACTATTGTAAAAACTCTTAAGAATAAAATTTACTTTTTGCCTTTGTAGTTTGTATAAGTTAACATAAAGTATACATCATGTAAATGTGTTACAAAATAGTTTTACAAAAACCAACTTGAACTGGAGCTTCATTCTATAAAAAATTCAAGAGTGATTGCACGAAGAAATTTCTTTTCACTCTTTACCAATACAATTCCATAAATAATCCCAGAAGGATTAAAATCCTAGAAAAATACTGCTTTGAATTGAAAATCAAATCTAGAAGCAGATACCTGAACAAAGAGAAGCTTTTAAATCTGGGCCACAGGTTTAATCTCAAGGCCATAAACAACAATCACAACATATATGAATTCTTTTTAGGCTTAGTAGAGAAAAACAGCCTAAAAATTAGCAAATATTTGATCCAACAAACTTCAAGAATTATGATTTTATGGATGCTTCTTAATAAAAAATAACAAAATTCCCTGGTTGGACACCTAGGGACAGGACACTCTTGTCCACCCAATGCTGAATATCATTTGATAATAAAAAAAACTCATCTTCATATGGCTAAGTGCAGACCTTACAGAAAAGATCTACACTATTGTCAAAAAAATACTACGGCTTGTTTCACTGTAACAATACAACCCACTGCAAACATACACTTAACCATACGACATACACAATAGAGGAGGGAACATCCTTTATCCTTTTTGTGCCGAATAGAGAGTTACGAAACAAAAAATTTAAACTTTGGATATTTTAAGCTGGTCACAGCAGTGTGGCACTCAAGTCATACAGAAAACATTAAAAGAAAGAAGAAAAAAAAAGAGGGAAAATATAATAAGAAGTCAGTAGCGAGCTTAAAATTAACAAACATTAAGAATGAGAAAGTTGGTTTAGACATAGGAATTTAGTTCTCAGATAGCAAACTACCTCAGTTTTGCTTTCAGGAAATATATTCAGCCTTCGTATCCTTTGTGGATAGATAAACTCTGCATCATGCTTTTGTTTACCATAAGTTATATTAGACATTGTTGAAGGCATAGCAGGTTGGTCAGGACAGCTGATGGGTCCAAACTCGTGAGACTTTCCTGCAACTAGCTGTGCTTCAAATGATAGGTGAGGTCTAGGAACTGCCAAGTGAGTGCATATAATTTGATCAAACAGTGAAATAAAAATCTTGAGAAAATATAGAATAAAGAAGACTGACAATCAAAATATAATGTTTAAGTTTAAATGAAATCTGGGAAACTTGATCATTACCACTATCAAGTTTCCATCCATTGCTAGATAAAACTTGTATTCGGCCCCACAAATCTTCCAAGAAATCCTACCAAAGTTGAAAAAAAAAAAAAAAAAAAAAAAAAGAGTGGTTAGGATAAAATTACAAGGCAGTGTAAAACAATGAACAGGATAACAGTCTGACTAGATACTAGAGATATGAAGCAAGTTAAATGTATAGGAAAAGATAAAAATATTGGGATGATATGCTCAATCCACAGAAGTAGGGAAGTTAATTAAAAGAGAGGAAAAATATAAAGTTCTAGGACCGCATAAAATAGCTGTATTAGTGTAAAAAACTCTTGAATACTCAAGAATTGAGTGGCTAACAAAATCATTTAACAAGACTTTATGGCGCGTTTACTAATCCGTAATCAAATTGAGAGGAATTGGATTGAGGAGGAATTGAAATAAGGTGGAATCAGAATCAGATTCTTGTTGAAGTTGTTTACTAAAACTGTCTGGAATCGGAATAGAATTCCATAAAGCTGTTTACTAATTCATCAGAATCGGAATATAAACCAGTATGATTACTAAAATACCCTTGTCCCAAATCAAATATTTTATTCTATATTGATGTTTTAAAGGCATTTTAATTAGTTACTTTTATTTTATTTAGTCAAAGTAAAGAGTTAAAATGTCCATTATTAATTAATTGTGTATAAATTAAAAAATTATAATCTAATTAAAAGCCGTAAACAAAGTGGCAAAGCCACATCCATCTTCTTATCCCGTAGAAGAAAAAACCCAGAACGGCTCCCAGCCGTCAAGACCACATGAGCATCGACATCGCCAAGGTCGCAATTGTCAAAGCGACGTTGCACAACGATGAGCCATCGCCTCCTAAACGACGGTGTGTGTTTGGCGGTGTCAAAGCCTCTGGTCCATCGCCTCCTGAACGACGACAATCCAGAACGACGAAGACGAGATCTCGTATGCGATCTCTTGATGGCAGATTGATAAGAGGGCATACTAGGAATGCAAAATGCATTCCTGATTCCCTCACCCTCCGGGAATTCAATTACCTCATCCATGGAGGGAGTCCAATTCCTCCGTTTTCAGGAATTGAATTCCATTTTTCGTGTAGGTCCCACACACTATTGATTCCTCTCAATTTCAGTAAACAGAAGAGTGATCCGTAATCGGAACCAGACTCCTTATTTTCATTCCGATTACGGATTCGTAAACACGCCATTAATTCAAGGTGCAATGGTGAATGAGACCAGTTGAGGAAATTACAAAGGAATTAAATTGATGAGTCACATTATGGAAGTATAGGACTAGGTCATAGAACTAGTAAGAATAGAAACAGTGTCAAATATCCATTCCACATTTTGCAAGGCAAACCCAATATGTAGACAATCAACTCACTAGGACAATTCAAGGCGAGCATGTTATTGACAAAGACAATTCAAGGCGAGCATGATATTCAATAACTTAGATCGTGACCAAAGTCCTTGCTAACAGACTAAAGGAGGTTATGGGTAGTACAATTTCCCCTTCCCAAGGAGCTTTCGTTAAAGGTAGACAAATTCTTGACGCCGTTCTCGTCTCTAATGAGGTGGTCGAAGAGGTAAGGCAGAAGAAGGAGGAGGGCTTGGTCTTCAAGATCGATTTTGAAAAGGCCTATGACCACGTTGACTGGAGCTTTTTGGAGGAAGTTCTTTTAAGAAAGGGTTTCGGGTTTAGATGGAGGAATTGGATGCTTGGGTGCCTTGGCACAGCTAATTTTTCTGTTTTGATTAATGGAAGACCCAGAGGTAAATTCAAAGCATCTAGAGGTCTGAGACAAGGAGATCCGTTGTCCCCGTTTTTGTTCACCCTTGTTGTTGATGTTCTGAGCAGGATGATTGAGAAAAGCCCAAGGTAATCATTTGATCAAGGGTTTGCGCGTCGGAGTCGATAACGTGGAGATCTCTCACCTTCAATTTGCGGATGATACCATCTTCTTCTTGAATGGGCACGAGGAGAATTGGAATAATCTGCTGCTTTTACTGGATCTTTTTTTGGAAAGGTGTCAGACCTGAAGATTAACAAAACTAAGTGTTCTTTGGTGGGTATTAATTCTGACTGTGAGAAGATTTATAGGCTTGCAAGCTCTTGGGGTTGCGAGGTGGGCGCTTGGCCAATGTCGTACCTCGGCCTCCCTCTAGGTGGAAAGCCAAAGTCTATTAAGTTTTGGGATCCGGTGGTCGAGAAGGTGGAATTGAGGCTCCAAGGTTGGAAGAAAGCTTTTTTATCCAGAGGAGGAAGATTAACCCTGATTCAAGCCGTCCTGGGTTCTTTGCCCGTGTACTACATGTCCCTTTTCAAAGTCCCATGTGGGGTCATTCGTAAACTGGAGAAGCTTATGAATGGGTTTTCTTTGGGAGGGGGTGGGGGAGGGAAAGAAGTTTCACTTAGTTAAGTGGGGGGATGTTTGCAAGAGTAAGGAGGACGGAGGCCTTGGCCTGGGAAATTTGAGATTTCGGAATGTCGCACTACTAGCCAAGTGGCTGTGGAGATTCCCTCTTGAACCTAATTCTCTTTGGCACAAGGTGATTAGGAGCAAGTATGGTCTGCACGCTAACGGCTGGGACGCTAATCCCCCGAGGCGGGGCTCAAGCAGATGTCCGTGGTCCGAAATCTCGGCTGGTTCCCCGTCTTTTCTTCTATCTTGCAAGTTTGTGCTTGGTAACGGGGAGAGGCTGAGGTTTTGGGAGGATGGCTGGCTGGAGGGCGGTCTTTTGAAAGATATCTTCCCCAGATTATTCATGCTTTCTAGGACAAAAAAACCTGAGCATTTCACGGCTGACGGTTCCTTCTTTACAGTCGGTAAGCTGGAATTTCGATTCCAGGAGAAACCTTAGAGAATCTGAGATTGAAGAGGTGGCCGGTTTACTGCAGAAGGTGGGAGCTGTGCGGCTGTGTCTTTCCAGAGCTGACAGGAGAAGGTGGATTTTGGAAGGTTCCGGCCAGTTCACCTGCAAGTCCTATTTCTCCTTCCTTCGAAACAACGATTCTGTGCAACAATTCCTTCCGTCCCCTCAGATTTGGAAAGCTAAGGTCCCCCCAAAAGTTAAAAGTCCTGGTGTGGCTAGTGGCGCTTCGGAAAGTTAACACTTGTGATCAAATCCAAAGGAGAATGCCCTATACTTGTTTTTTCTCCACATTGGTGCGTTCTGTGTAAGTCAGGGGAGGAAAGTGTCAATCACGTGTTCCTCCATTGCCCGTACAGTATCCAACTCTGGTGGAATTTGCTCAAGGAAGTTGGAGCAGTCTGGGTCATCCCAAAGGGCTGTTTTGAGCTTCTAAGCACCGAGTTTGATGCCTTAGGAAAAGGGAGGAAAGCCAAATCCTTGTGGGGTTCCCTGCTGATGGCCCTCTTCTGGAACATTTGGATGGAGCGTAACAAAAGAGTTTTTGAGGACTACATGGGAGTTGAAGTCGAGGAGCTCTGGGATAAAACGAAACACTGGGCTGCTCTATGGTCTTCTGTGGCTGCTGAGTTTAGAGATTATAATCCTCTTTCAATTGCTAGGGATTTGGTGGCAGCTGTCTTTTGATTTGGCGTAGCCTTTCTTGTTTTTCTAGTTAGTTTTTTTCTAGTTCAGGGGTTTTCTCCTGGCTTTTTCCCTGCGCCTGGTGGTTATCTTGTCCCCTTGGCTGTCCTTTTTCTTTCCTTGTTTTGCCCTCTTTTTATATATTTTCTCTCGTTTCTTCTCAAAAAAAAAAAGATCAAGGGATATACTTAAGGGGGCCTACAAAGAAAATGTTTTCCAGTTCATTACAATAAAGTGATTTGAGATATATAATAACAGAGTTCATTGCATGTGGAGAACCCAGAGACTTAAAAAGGATCATTCCAAGCATCAATACTAAGTCCTAATCTGTTAAGAGTAAAGTTGTAAGATGAAATATCATGGTTAAGAAAGAAGAAATTCTTGGTGTATGTTATTTCTAGACGACAGTTTTGATGGACACTAATAAAATGTCACTTGCAGAAAAAACTGGAAACAGGGGGCAACACAGAGAAGCAACAATAACTAAACCAGCTACCACCTCTAACAATCAATATAATCTACGAAATTAAAAGGCCAATATTTCTGGTAGACTACAATATATGTGAATCACCTAATGAAATTTTAATCTAAAGGGAAAAGCAAATATGATGTTCAAATAACTTATACCTTATCGCTAGGTTCTCTCGCATTCTCATCATCATCCTCAAAAAAGGACAACCCAGTGTCAGAAGAATGTTTTCTTATGCTCAAATAAGCTTCAACACCGACCATAACTCTCTCAATTTCCTCAGGGACTTGCTGCAGTGAGACAATAACAAATCATGATTGAAGATTGAAGCATTTAAACTCATAATGAAACAGAAAACTGGAAATGTAAGCCATAGTTGAGTCAAACAGTAAATAACAACAACAACAACAACAACAACAACAAAGCCTTATCCGACTACGTGGGTTCGGCTGTTGAATCCTACACCACTGCGCTCGGTTTTGCACTAAGTCTTCCGTTAGCTCCAAGTACTCCATGTCTCTTCTTACTGTCTCTTTTCAAGTCTTCCTAGGTCTTACTCTATCCCCTTTGCCCTGGGCCTCTATCTTGTAATCACATTTTACTGGAGCATCTGTAGGTCCTTATTTTACATGTCCAAACCACCTAATGGGAAAATACAATGATCCGTGCCATCAACCATACTCCCATGAAGCTTCACAACCAAAAGGGCCACTACATCTGTGCCAGACACAGAAGCCCTTGAACATAGCTACAACATGTGATAGCGTGCATCCATTAAACTTTTCAGGTCAGACGTGGAACAGAAACATCTAGGAGACGCCACTTAAAGCCAGGCAATAAATTTTTTATTTTTAAATAGTTAGTGGCCGGAACAAAAGTGAGACACAAATTATGGAGGTCTAAATTGCTTATAGTAAGAATGCAACAAACTCTGCCTTTTATGTAACGAGTTCTCAACAAAAAACCTAGACTCCATAGGAACAGCTAGTATCATACTTTTAGTTTAAACAGACCGAAGACTAAAAGTTTTATGAGGTTCATAACCAGACATAGTATATAGGAATATTTTGAAAACAATAATCAAACGAATTAAATATTGATACCATAAAAGAGAAACTTTTTCTTTTTATCAAGCAATATTATAAAAGTACCTCAATGAGTTCCGCTCCTCCCCAAGGGAGACAAGATAAAATGCATGTTATGTAAAAGTCAGCTCGTGATTGCCAGGATGGATTGCCTTTCTCCTCATCAACTGTTGTTGCAGCTGATGATAACAATGTTTCGAACACAACTACAAGAGAACTGGGATGGATAACTTTACTGCACATCTATAGAAGAAGAAAGTTACCATAAGGAAAAAAAAATTATACCTTGGTAAAATGCACGCACTCATGTAGATAGATATGTATATAGTAGATAAATATAGGGCGATGTTCTTTTGCCAAGACTGGGAATCTGAAACATTGATCAAGTTGGATTTTATAAAAATGTATACTCCAGATTCACAGTCTTGAAACTGATGCATTCGTCTGGCAACATAAGTTGGACAAAAGAACATTACCCTATGCATACACACACACATACACATGTAGATGGATTAGAAAACTTGTTTCCATGAATATTGAAGTCTATTTTGCGATATTAGCCTATGGTACTAAGAGGAAGGGGAAAACCAAAAGTTAATATGGGTACAGACAACAAAAGATATGAATAGTGTTTTGGATAACATAATTTGGGTAGTAGTAATAGGACTGCGTTTTGTTGTATATTAAACCTGGGTAGAAGTCCAATGTCATCATTGGTAAATGTGAAAGTAAATACTTCTTATATTTGTTCTTTATATTAATGACATGCATTTCCTTTAAATTGTACTCTAGTCAGTAGGAGATGAAACTTTAGAACTTTGTACCTTGTACATGGTCTAAATAAAAAGCTTCTAGAAATTGCTGCAGATATACAAAATGTATTCATATGAACAGCCAAATGTGGTAAGATATCGCCTAAAGTTTAAGTTGATAGCATATGGATGACAACATTACATTCCCAGACTCCATTAACTAAAAGATTTCCTTGGTAAATTTGAGCGAACTAAGGCGTATAATGAATAACATATATCTGATTGTATTCTTCTGTTCTCAATCTGTTCCTGAATTTCATCAGTCACCAATAGCAACATGATACATACCATAACAGTCAGGAACCTCATCAAAATACGAATCTTGTTACAATTTCCGGAAGCTAAAGCATCCTGAAAATCAAACACAAGCAAAGAAAAAGAAAGTGTCAATTTTAAATCCTCACTAAAAAGAATAAAGGATATATCAAAGGGAGATGAATAATCGTCCAATAGTTTTAATCTTTCAAACATAGCCTTATAAAATCTAAACTACATATTAATAGAACCCTCTTTGTCAACCAAAAGAGGGTGAAAAGACTATTTAGTCTTCTATCACAACAAAAAAGTTAAGGGCAGTATCATACCACAAAACAAAATTTTACTGCTTTTGATTAAGCATCACCTTCAGCTTATTTTAACATCTCTAATTTTAAAAAATAAAAATAAGGATAAAAATACCTCTATCCCTCTCTTCCCACTCCCATGTTCCCTCTTACTCTCTTCTTCTCTCCTTCAATTTTAAAAACAAAAATAAAAATTTTCACACACTATAATAAAAAAATCAACCTTGATCACATTACTTGCATGCACCAGATAATTAAACATCAAATACTCACTGTCGGACATCCCACGATTAACCTAAAAAGTAAATGGGCAGCTCAAATCCCACAATTCCAGTTCACTCATTCATCTCTCTCTTTCTATTTTTATTTATAAGATGTCTCTTTTTATTAATAAAAACCCGAAGTACAACTTGCGAGGACAAGATGTCCACAATATGTTCACTTGTTCTTATCCATTATTCCAGTTCACTTTTCTAATCTTTTATATATATATGTGTGTGTGTGTGTGTGTGTGTGTATTTATATAATTCAAGAACACATTCATGAACTAGGAATGTCATTTCATTCACACTACCATTTAATCGAACACTGGCATGCCTGACTGTTTTTATCAGAGTCAAAATTCAAAGTAATTAAACCCTTTTGGCAATCTGTCAAGAGACAAAAGAATCAAGCCTTCTGAAATCATCAGCCATGGCAGCAGCAATAATAAAATCCAAATGAATATCAAACAGAAAATGAAAAATATGCAAGGTGTAGGGCATTCCAGGTTGCAGAGCATCAATTAGAAACTACTAGTCTCTTGGTACATGCTCCAATTTGCTTTTTTATTTAAAAAAAAATGGCTTTCTTCTTTTATTATAAATTATAATGCAGCAGCCCATATTTGGTAATTATGATAGGCAAACATATACAAAGCTCATCTCAACCACAGGATCACTCACCTGAAAATTAGTTTGAGTGTTCTCCACTACTTTCCTAATAAATTCCTCGTTCTCCAAATTTAACAAGCCAATCTGGAGAGAGAGAGATAGAGTGAGTAAACGATCCCAAAGAGTCTGAAGCAGTACACAGGAAAAATGGATGTTGAAGAAATTATAGCTCAAGAAGTAAGAAAATATGCATACAGTAGACTCTAGGAATATTATTAACAGAAAGAAAAAAAACACCTTGTAACACATGTGGTACGTACTATGATACTCATAAGTAATGTATGAATCCACCATGTACGGTGCATTGCACCATCCAACAAATATACATCTGATGGAGCTAAACCCCTTCATTTAGACTTGTGCGGCTACATGTAATGGTTAAGCTTTCCTTCTCTTTTTTTTTTTCTCCCAAACATAACTGAATACAATGCAATTAATAAAAAATCTTCAAAATGCACCTCATAAGATTCTAAATTAATTATGAAACACAAAAGACTTTAAAATCAACTTGTTATTCAACAAGCAGTAATTTCAAATACTCCATCACCAAATTCCAAAGCATTTTTTTATATAATTGGTTTGTTTCCCTTTATACTAACATTGTGATTGTGCAAATCTAATTCATGGTCTGAAAAATGTGTGAACCCTAAAGGTGCCCTAGATGAGCATTTCCAGTGACTAAATATGTGATCCTCGCTTAATCAGAAGAGAAACATTTTAGTTTAGGTCAATATTCAGTCAGTCTGAAGAAAATGGAACCTTTTAGCTTAGGCATAGTAAGTCTGAAGGTTTATAGTTATACACTTCAAAGTTCAGCAACGCATTCATATGCATGCTATACATAGGGATGAAAGGAGAAACACTGGAAGAACTGAAGAATCGAAAAAACTAAATAAATAAAGTCAGCAATGTATTTATACACCCTACCACTGTTCCATATAAAGGACTCTTGTGAGGCAACTGTTCAGCACACTGGATAAGGAACTGTCAGAAGAAAAAGTACAAAGTTAGTCAGAAGAAAAAGTACAAAGTTAATGTATATTACAGCAGAGCAAGTATCTATGAGTATGGAATTCTTTTTCTTCCCAAATTTCTATATTAAAGAGAGAGTTTTGGTGTGTTTGAAGGGAACATCTAAAGTAATCGTCCCCATGTCTCTCTACTCTCCTTGTCTTTTCCGATCCATTATCTTAAGTGAAAATGATGAAAGCCAAGAGAATTTAAAATTCTTCCCTTATTTTATCTTCCCTGGTGGTACCAGTTATCAAGTGCTTTAGACTTTTAGTTTTTGGTCGGAGATACTTAGATTTCGTATAAAAAGACATCCAGCAACCTCGACCCAAAACATACCCTAGCTTATAATGTCAATTTTCACGAACTAAATTTAATAACTTTTTATTTCTTTGCCTTTTCATCAAGGCCACTAAACGAAATTACTATAACCTAAATGTGGGGGCTGGAGCTTGTACAATGTACATAATGCATATACAATTGTAAGTATACAAAATTAGCTTTACTTGCGAAACGTCGTCGGGAGAGTGCTCCAATTCTCGACGAAGCACGCCATAGCAAGTTTCCTGCAAATCCAAGAGAATCAATCAATAAAACAGACTACACAGAAATTGAAAAGGTTGAGAAGACGAAGCAAATTAGGGTTTTGAAAATCACAACAAAGAGAGCGAGAGAGAGAGGGAGAGGGAGGTACGAACAATGTGTTCTTTGACGTCGTCGGAGGTGCCATAGTCGGAAGACTTTTCGCCAATTCGAAGAAGAAGACTCTTCCAACTGCTCATTCTCTCTCTCTCTTCTTCTCTTACTTCTTGAGAGACAAAGAACAAAATTGAACGCAGATAGAGAGACAGACTGCTTTAGCTACCAACTGAACAAGCGAAGCGAACTGGAGCTTCGCCGAGAGAGAGACCTGGCGGGCTTATATGCGTGGCTTGAACCCTACTAATTCTTAATCCCCCTCGATGACCTGACCGGCCCAGATTGCCTTGTGCCGTGTCGGGTCAAGTGTTTAAACGGATAAAAGATTGTTTTTAGGGTTGCAAGTACACCTGCCATTTTGAACCAAGGGATTAAATATCGATAATATCGGAAATATCGATAGTCCAAAAATACAGAAATATCGATGGAAATATCGGGATATTATCGATATCGATAAAAATAATATGGAAACCACGGAAATTGTAAGAAAAACTTGGATATTTTTATTGAAACTTTGCAGGATATTTATTTAATCAATTATCTATTAGTTTATCACAAAAATTGGAAGGAAATGCATTGCATGATGGATTTAACTGATTTAAGTTGATTATATAGTGAGCTGGCAAACATGATGGATTTAAAGGATGTTTATTTAACTGATTTGAGGTGACCCAACCACACACACAGAGACACGCCATCACACACGCATACATGTTCTTATTAGATTACACACGCACGCAGACAGAGACTCCTCAGTCCCTCTCTCTCGATCCTTCTTCTCTCTTCTCTCCCTTCTCCCTAGATTACACGCACGCAGACAAAGACTCCTCAGTCTCTCTCTCTCGATCCTTCTTCTCTCTTCTCTCCCTTCTCCCACACATACGCACAGAGATCTATCGATCTTTCTTCTCCCTTCTCCCACACACACGCACAGAGATCTGTCGATCTTTCTTCTCCTTTAGCCTCGTCGGCGCCGTCTCTCGAAACTATCCTTTCTCTCTGCACCGAGTCCGAGACCCACATACACACACGCACACCATCGCACCTGCTTCAGGAAGACACCCATCGTCATCAGCAACCTCGTCTTTCTCCCTCTCCTTCTCGTCTCTGCAACTCGGCGAACGCAGGAACTCCGGCGAGTTTCTTGAATTTATCCGGTTAGGTAAGCTTCGGTTTACCTATTTCTATTCCACATTGAAGCTTATATGTGAAATTTAAGTTCAAAATCGTGTTTTTGCAAGGTTTTTGGGACAAAATCGGCTCGGGTTCGCACAAATCCATCTCTGGCGTTCTTCTCCGATTGGCATAGATACAAGATATCGCGATAATTTAGGAAATATCACGATATTATTGATAATATCGTGATATTTTGACGAAATCTTATTGGATAAGCATTAAAATATCGTTAACCCGAAAAACCGATATTATCGGGGAAATATCGCCGATAATATCGGCATTTGAGACCATGTTTGAACCCAACCCAACCCAACAATCCGATCCAATCCATCCGTTGAAATTAACATTTGGATAGATGCTTAACGGATTGGACCATTAACAATGGATGAACCCGTTAATCATCCGTTAGTTTATGAGTCATTTCAGGCTTCCAACGAACCTTTTAACATCTGTTAATTGATGATATTTATGTAATTTCAATAAAAGAAAAATCTAACCCTACTTTCCATTTATACCCTTGGTGATGGGACTTTGAATTTGAATGGGGTTACTATTGTTGTGGGTAAGGCGATGGCTTTGAAGGAGGGTACGAAGTATGCCATAAGAAATTCTTGGCTCATTATCCAAGTGGTCCAATGTCGGTGTGGTGTTCCTTGGAACCTGCTTTTCATCATTAAAGACATCATGTGGTTGACTACAATAATTTACTAGTATCAAGTGAAACCATATCGAGTGGCAAAAAACAATCATATTTATGCATTCTGGTATAGATTCATTCTCCACTGATTCCTCTCTCTCTAACTATTTAACACAAGGGCGGAGCTACCATGGGCCTAGAGGGGGCGGATGCCCCCACTGAGATTTTTCTGATGCTGGCATGCTCATCTGTTTCTGCAGCAGCAAAGCCCCCACTGCGATTTTGAGCAGCAGCAAAGCCCCCACTGCAATTTTCTGGTTCCTCCGATCTGGGTCTTTCTAAACCAGGCCAAAGGCAAAACGAACCTCTGCAGAAGCCTGATCTGATTTTTTTTTTTAAATGTAAACGAAACGGCGTTAAGTTTAAAAAAAAAAAAAGTTATGTTATAGTATTAGTGGGGGACCAGACTCCCATTTCTTTTTTTTTTGTCTCCTAAAAAAGTTATGTTATAGTATTAGTGGGGGACCAGACTCCCATTTCTTTTTTTTTTACTCCCTTTGTTTTCGTTGCCCTTTGTCAGAGAGCAGCTTGGTGCTGCTCTGTTTGTCTTCTCCAAAGTCCAAACCAATACCTTGAAAGTTGCTCTCCTGTCCAGGTGCTCTCTGGAGCAAAGTTGCTCTTCCCAGCCATGCCAGCAGCCAGCCATTCTCTAGTCTCTAGCCGACAACATATGTATATATATTTAGGTAAATTTTTTAATTCCTAAATCTATAATTCCTAACCCTAATTAATTATTTAAGACGAATTTTTGTTTAATTGGTATAGAAATATAGAATCATATGGATATGGTATGCACTAATATGGATGGTTATTGACTTATTGATTATTGATATGATGAATTCTATGATTATTGATGAATGAAATTATGAAATTACGAATTCTATAAATATGGGTATACATTTATTCAAATGATTAGTTGAATTAAATGTTTATTTGTTGAATAATTTGTATGCTTATTGGTATTAGTTAATTGAATTGTTGCCTTGGTTGGATATGGATTAGTTATTAGGCATTTATTTTATTTTTTGGTTAAGAAAGCATATATATTAATATGGATAACATTGTCAACATCTCCAAGAAAACTCAATTCTACGGCTTAACAGTCTAAAAACAAATCCATTTTTCAGAAATGGAATCATAATCATCCCCTTTCGAAACCCAAAAAAGAAGAAGAAATGGATTAGTTATTATTAGGCATATTAGTATAGTATACACTAGGATTAAGAGTCTAAGAATTTTATTGAGATTTTTATTCTATAAATTCTACAAATTACGTATGAACCTTATATGTTATTGGTATATGACTAACTTTGTAGGCTGAAACATCATGGAGAGGTTTTTCAAAAAAATATCAGTGCCGCCACCATCCCCAATTATTGAATAAAATAATGATACTCGGGGACATGATAGTGCAGAATTTATTTTATCAAATCTTCCATCAGATCCTGGTAAGAGAATTCGAATTTTGGATTACAATCCTAATATTCGAGATCAAGTACGAAGAGCGTATGTACTAGCTGGTCCTCAACAACCTAAAACCCATAATTTTCCTTACAAGAAATATGGAGACACGCAAAGACGATTCAACCCTGCTTGGTTTGATGATTTTCCTACTTGGTTGGAATATAGTGTAGAAAAAGATGCTGCCTTTTGTCTGTGTTGCTACCTTTTTAAACCAAACATTGGAGAACAAGCAGGTGGTGATTTCTTTGTTGGCGAAGGATTTTCTAACTGGAAGAAAGAAAGACTTCTAACTCATATTGGAGGCGTCAATAGTGCACACAATCAAGCGTGGAGTAATTTTGAAGCTTTAAGGAGTCAAAAGCAACATATCCAGTCTTTTTTCTCTAAAACTCATGATGAAGCTCGAATTCAATATAGAGCTCGGTTGAATGCATCAATTGATTGTTGTCGATTTCTTTTGAGACAAGGGCTTGCATTTTGTGGTAATGATGAATCTGAACATTCAAGCAACCATGGAAACTTTCTTGAGCTTCTACAGTTTATTGCTGACCACAATGAGGATGTGAAAGCCGTTACTTTGAAAAATGCTCCGGAGAATCACAAATTGACATCACCAGATATTCAAAAAGACATTGTAAATGCTTGTGCAACTGAGACGATCAAGGCTATTATTGAAGACGTTGGCACTTCGTTGTTCTCTATTTTGATTGATGAATCTCGTGACGTATCAACGAAGGAACAAATGGCTATTGTATTGCGTTATGTGGACAAGAATGGGCATGTCGTTGAGCGTTTTATTGGCATTGAGCATGTTACTAGTACCGCTGCTCTCTCACTCAAGGAAACCATTGATGGGGTATTTTCTAGGCATAAATTGAGCATGTCTAGGTTGCGTGGGCAAGGTTACGATGGGGCCAGCAATATGCAAGGTGAGTTCAATGGTCTTAAAGCTCTTATTATGAAAGAAAGTGGTTGTGCCTATTATATTCATTGCTTTGCACATCAACTTCAATTAGCTCTTGTAGCTGTGGCAAAGAAGAACATTCAAATTGAGTCTCTCTTTTTAGTATAGTTACTATTTTGGTAAATGTTGTTGGAGCTTCATCGAAGCGTTGTGATCTTCTTCGGGAGAAGCAATCTATTGCAGTTATTGAAGCACTAAACAGTGGTGAGTTTACAAGTGGGAAAGGCAAAAATCAAGAAACTACTTTGAAACGTGCTGGAGAAACACGTTGGGGTTCACACTTGGGTACTTTAGTAAGTATAAATGACTATGTTTTCATCCATACTTGATGTACTTGAAGTAATAGCAGATGATGGAGTAAGCTCTCAACAAAGATGTGAAGCGAATAATTTATTGGATTCCATGCAATCATTTGATTTTGTGTTTAATCTACACTTGATGAAAATATATACTTGGAATAACCAATGAATTGTCACAAGCATTGCAAAGGAAGGATCAAGATATTGTAAATGCTATGAAGTTGGTTGGAGTTTGTAAGCAAAGGTTGGAGATAATGAGGAAAAATGGTTGGGATTCTTTACTCAATGAAGTCTCAGAATTTTGTCTTAAACATGATATTGATGTGCCTAATATGGATGATATGTTTCTTTCTCGAAGGCGAGGGCAACGAAAAGCAAAAGCAGTCACAAATATGCATCACTATTGTGTTGGGATATTTTATGTTGTTTTGGATTGGCAGCTTCAAGAACTAAATAATCGTTTCAATGAGACCAACACTGAGTTACTTCTTTGTTTGGCATGTTTATGTCCAGCCGACTCCTTCTCTGCTTTTGATAGCCAAAAGCTATTGCGTCTTGCCCAATTTTATCCTAAAGACTTCTCTATGAATGAGCTGGTGATACTTAAGATTCAACTTGAGACTTACATTGTGGATATGCGGTCTAGCATTGAGTTTTCAGGTTTAAAAGAGATTGGAGATCTTGCAAAAAAAATGGTTCAATGCAAGAAACACAAGGTGTATTCGCTGGTTTACTTGCTTGTGACATTAGCACTAACTCTTCCAGTTGCTACTGCAACCGTTGAAAGAGCATTTTCGGCCATGAAAATTCTGAAGAATCGATTGAGAAATCGGATGGGAGATCAATGGATGAATGATAACATGGTTATTTTTATAGAGAGAGAGATATTTGATGGTATTGGTAATGATGTTGTCATGCAACGCTTTCAGAACATGAAAACGCGTCGAGGGATATTGTAAAGGACTGTTGTATGAAAAACTTTATGGATTAATATATAAGTATTGTGTTTAGTAAATTCTTAAGCTTTTAATTATGACTTTGTTGTTTGAGGATGCCCCCATTCACACAAATCTCTGGCTTCGTCCCTGATTTAACACCAATGCTATGATTCAATCCCCGTTGTTTCTCTCCCTCTAACTAACTATTTAACACTAATGCTATCGCTCTACTAAAAAAAAGTATGATGAAAATTAACTAATTAACATTTTGTGTGTCAATGTTGAGTGGACTTACAACTACTGGACTGACTGATGTCAAAGTTTGGCCTAATATAAAAGGACTTCCCTGCAACTTGTTTTGTATTACAATCTTCTTACATCTCTCATCACGCAAATAAAGAGATATTAGGTCTATTAGAGATGTAGAGAGGGGACAAAAAATTCAACTCAAATACTTTAGAAAACACATTTCTAACTTATCAAAGTTGAACCTCAAAAAAAAAAAAAAGGGAATCTTCAATGGAGGGTACAAAAAAGAAGCTTTACGCACAAAGAATTAATTAGAACGTGACAAATGACTACGTGATGAAGTTTTTTCCTCCTAATTGGGTTCTTTTGAGGGGTTTTGTATATGTTTAAATTCAAAACTCTATAAATATGTACTTACTTAAGACTCTAGATGTCTGATTTCTGCTCAATTTGTTCGTTATTTTATTTATTTATTTATTTATTTATTTTTGAACAAACAATATTATCTACACTAAAGAGGAGGGGTGTGAGCTTAGCCTTACAATGGGCTAGCAATAATGTGTTCAAATTCACCTATGGCGATAATCAAACCTAAGACATTTCACTTACAAATGAAGAGGAATACCACTAGACTGTTAATTTGATTGCTTAGTTAAACTTGTTTGTGACTTGTGCACTTTTGACCAACAATGAATATTTGTTTTACAAGTATTATATATTTTTTTATATATTGTATATAATTATACAATATAATATACTAAAATTTTTAGCTCTCGTGAGGCTTCGTCTTGCCATCCATGAAACGACTTGCCCAAGCCTTCGTCTTGGTTAAAAAAAGAAAAAGAAAAAGAAAAAAAAGGATTTTGCATAACACTTAATAGTTGCTAGGGTGTTTTTTTAAATTGGCCCATTTGCAAATATCAGCACCACCTGTGTGATAAATTAGATACATAGGAAAAGAAAACCAAAACACAAGAAACTCCATCAACAACTTACGCATATATAGATACAAACACCAAACACCAAACGTCAGTATCGGTATTTGTTCAATTAGATCTAAAACGAAAATTAAAAAATAAACAAATGAAATGCAAGATAGATTCAGTGGGACAAAATTCTTCATGACTAGACGAGAAACTCGAACATCATTGAGATGATCAGTATCAATACTCATGTTTTACTTCCTGCATCTCCAAGCTGACACCGAAAACAGCGGTCGATCTTGCCAGGAAACCAACACGCAACCGTTCTCTTCCCTCATTCTATACCCGTTGCAACCATAGCCCTGCAGCATCCTCTTTGCCTGCAGCATTCCGTAATAGCTCAAGGGCACATTCCCAAAGCCAGCTAAGTCAAGCCTTTGAATCCATTTCCCAAGCTTTTCGTGTCTTTCAATCCTCTCAGATCCCTCGCAAGCTATAATGTTTTTTATCTCCTCCCCGAACAGCATTTTCTCTACCTTCAGTCTCTCCAATGAGGTTCTCGGCATCGTAGACTCCAAGCAATCAAACAATGTAGCATACGAATACAGAGCTTCCAGTAGTCTCTCCATCAGAGTGGATCCGTTATGGTTAGAATCTTGCTCCGTTATTACCATGACTTTCGGTGTCAAATCCCAAAATGCATTAAGAAAGCTATCCAATTTCGCCCAAGGAGTTAAAGAGAGCGGTGATGACGAGGTTGAATCAGGACTCGGGCTATACCTGTTGCCCATCTCTTTCTCTAGCAACTCACCCAATGTGCCATGGCTAATTTGCAATGCTCTTGGCAAGTGATTTCCATTTGAACCCCTTGATGCTAATGGGGATTTCCTTTTCAGGAGTTCATCATCCAACGCCAAAAGTGAGTGCAACTGGAGAACCGAGCTGATAGCTAGAGCCTCGCCAGTTTTGACGCGAAGTTTTTCCATATCGAGATTTTCCAATTTGCTGACTATGGGACAGAATTGAAATGGGATATCCAATTTTTCGGCCACCTCAGTCAATCTATGAGCCATTTGATCAAGTACCTCTTTCTGTTGATGAACACCGGTGATTCTCAAATGCGGCGGACCTTCAGGCCTCGCACTTAGAACCTGAAGAAGAGCAATCCACTGTGCAGGTTCAGCTGCATTTAGATCAATTATATGCACCATCTTTTCCCCTTCCATGGCTTCCAAAATAGCTTGGTTTGTGAGCACAACAGCCACCTTTAGGAAGGGAAGCATCTCGAAAAACACTTTCCGGACTAGAATTTCCTCCGAAACCAAAGATATTTTAGTGGAATTCAGGGCCGTGTGAAGACCGGGCCAAGCTTTGAGGATTCGATCAGCAAGAGCCTCGGTGAAGTAGGCAGCAATCCGCTGCATGGTATCACCGTCAGCAGAGGCGAGTTGGGAGATTTGCTCAAGGGCGGCATTTGCATTTTCAAGGCTTCCGGTGGCAACATGGTTTGCACAAGTGAGCAACAAGTGGATCAAATACAAACCGCGCTCCTCGGATTTTAGCTCCTTAAGCCAAGGGTACGGTGAGCCTAAACTAGGCGAAAGCGACATCGTGGAAAAGAATTGGAGAGGAGATGAAGGAGCAGACGATGACCCTTCGTCTTGAAACATAGGTGTCATATGTATAGCAACCAAGAATGATTTGGTAATGAATTCAATAACAAAGTTAGCCGAATAATTCAGGGGATTTCTAAACAAGTATCCTATTCCAAGTGTTCATGCAAGAACCAAATTTGCATGAATTCCCAAGTTGAGAAAAATGTGTACTCTCAAACAAGCATTTACAGCAACTAACAAAAGCACGTATAACCAAAGTGCTTTCTGAACAAAATCAGGCCTTAGCAATACCACCTAATTAGCAGATTAAATTCAGAAAGAAAACTAATGAAATTCAGGAAAGAAGTCGCCGGAGAAGTGACAAATAGAACAACATAAGCAGCTGAAGAAAGAAACTAGTTGCAGAAGAACTAGCCAAGCGAAGAAAGAAGAAGGAAATCCTTACTGGGTTTTGTAATTGATCAAAAACGCAAGTGGAAGTTCGAAGCCCGTGAGAATTCAAGGAAAGCAGCCTCTTCAAATTCAATCTCTCTCTCTCTCTCTCTCTCTCTTTCTCTCTTTGGAGCACAGAGCTGATATTCTTCTTCTTGGATTTTTTTTTGCTCTGTTTTTATCAGAGTTGAAGGTTAATAAAACTAAAAGTTGGGGGCTTTGGAGGACGGACGGAACTTCATGGCTACGTTGTCGACAATGCGTGGCGGAGTCCTTTTGTCCTTACCGTTTTGTTGTCCTGCGTTCCCAAGTGGAACACGAAATTTGTGAGAAGATCAGCCTTTTCTTGCACTTTCAATTTTTTATTTATTTTTTATTGTCACTCTATTGTTTAATGATATTAGGTGGAAGATTTTATATTTGATTTTTATAGATAGCGAAGTTCGAATCAAACTTTTTTTTTTTTTTTTTATCAAACTATTATGGTTAGCTTATGTTTATCTTGTGATTTGGGTCAATCTCTCACCCTCTTATCGTAAATATATTATTGTATAAAAAAATTATATTTACTCATTTTTGTTGAGATTGCGAAGCTAATAGAGAGAAAGAGATTTTTGTAGGGGTGTGATATCCACACATCTATTTTTACTTCTCTCACATATTTTTGGTTTTCGGCCATCGGATTGGATGAATTGAAGAAGATCAACGAACAGAAAGTAAAAAGGGGTGTGTGGATAGCACATCCCTTTTTGTATGTGCCAATAAGAGGTTTGGTTATTTCTTAGCTAGTTGATTTTAGAATAGAACTTTAATTTTTTTCATGATATCAGATTAGGTTACCTACTGTTGAGCCCAACGATATGCCCACATTAGAAATTTAACTTGTCATGTCTTTATAAAAGTTAAGCCATTTCACATATTAATTCTATGATAAAAGCCGAATTCCCTTCTATCAAAGAGCTCCTCATTGTAATAGAATAAGTACACAGTACATGTCAAACTCAACACAAATATATACAAATATAAATAGATGGCATTGTCTCTCAAAACTCAAACTAACCTAGTTTATTTGATTCTGTCTTGAGCGAAGGTGGATAAGGAAAATCAGCGCTGGGCCAACGACTTGTTAATATGCGCGAAGGTTGGAAGAATCCAAACGAGCCCTAACAAAGACAAACAGCAAGAAAGGTCTTTGGGTGCTGCCAAAAACAAACAAGGACTTGTTCTTAGTTATTTTGTTTTGCTTTGAAATATGGCCTTTTATGATAGCATGATGACCATACAATTGGTATTTACGTTGCTAATATTAAGACAAAGAGACAAGGAGGTTAGGCGACCCTCCATAAAGTAGATGCCCACATTTCTTTCTCTCTCTTTGACTGACTTAATTAACAAATTGTGTTTGAAATTTATAGTGCAAAATTTATGACTAAACTATTGTGCTCATTTTTCGTCAAAAACGAATTTGAACCATATTATTGCTAATTTATTGTGAGGTTAGTACACTCCCCACTGCCTTAGTATAGATAATATCGTTTCTTTAAAAAAAAAAAAAAAACCACGTGCTCCTTTTTGGACTGAATTTTCATGACTTAACTTTTGAAGTACACAATTGACACCGCATCATATTGGATCAGCTAAAGAACTGTAGCAGAAGGTTTCCTACAGTTGTTGAAAGTTAAGCCTTCCACCATTAACATAGGGGTCTTTCATAACTGGAATGTTACTGCTTCTTCATCTCTAAGTTGTTTGTTACGTTCCCCTGCGTGGCTTAGGCTTTGGTTTTTAGGTTTTCCTTTTGTTTGTTGGTGCTTTGAATTTTCTTCTTTGCCCAGTTCTCCTTTGTTGTTCTATTTGGGCTTTTGTAATATATTACTTATTTAATAAAAATGAAAAAGAAAAAAAGAAGCTTTTATGACTTTTCCGGATCCCTTTCTCCAAATCTTCCCCATCAATCAATCCGAGCCATTGAAGCTTGATCCAACGGCTAAAGTTATTATAACTTTTAAAATGAGCCCTTGCTTGTAGTCGTTGGATCAAATTTCAAAGATCTGGATTAGTTGATGAAGAGGACTTAGTGAAAGAGATCCGGAGATGACCTCTTTCCAAGACATGTGATAAGATATGATGGGTTTGGTTAGGTGTATCCAAGATTTTGAAAAAATCGCAACCGCAAAATAAAAAACATTCACTCAAAGGTGAAGGTGAAGATGAGGGGTTGGTAGTAATCCCTTTATATATTGCTGGAATATTTTCAACGACAAGGGATAGGACGGCTTTGCTTGTTTATTGCAAACGATAGTTTACACTATTTTATATTGAGAGGGGATGAGAATTTAAACTCCAAACATAGACAATTTCACTATTTTATAGGCAAGTTTCACACTTCTTTGTTGTGGTCTAATACTATCTTTATTTACAACTGGATAGTCTTAGGCTTAACTCCTAATGAATGACAGATTTCAAATATCAAATTATTGCTAGTTATTATGTGAGTAATTGCATTTATTTATGGTAAAGCATTAGTGTTAGTGGGTTAAACGGTAACTTGTAAGGGAGAGGAGAATTAGTGGAATTGAACCCGCACATAGTGCATAGACATAATTGTTTTCCGCCATTACGGTACGTAGGCATCTGTTTTTGTTTATGTTTACTTGTCTTGAACGAAAAACTTGAGGTATAAGAAATTTCAAAGTAATCGAAATTAAATTGACAAGTGGACAAATGGGGAATATTAGAAATGCATAGCAGAAGTGTTTAGAATGGGGACACCTGATTTCTCACCGAAATTTGTAGTTTATTACAGAACAATAAGCACATTATTCACTCTTTCAGCAGCGTCCATCTCCTATAAAATGTAAGCGAACAAGACTCCCAAGAAAATATGCACATAAATTAACCATAAATGAATTTAGTGTATAGATTATTTTATCGTTTGCAAAAATAAATTGTTTTAGTTTTATTTTGTTCTTGTTTTTCGGTAGTCGAAAGGCGCTGTATTGTGTAAATACTGACATTAAAGCTTACGTAAGTACTACGGCAGTAATGTACACTAGAGCAGTATTGTACACTAGAAACTCGCTGCTTTGCCTTTTCAACATTGCCACATTTATCATCGCATAGTGAAAGTAATAAACGAATCGCCATGAAGGAAGATTAACTCAACTGGTCATAATGATCGGTTTCCAGATCCCGTTGAAAACATTTTGAGCCCTATAACGCCGACTCTGCACCACCTGTAAAAAATAAATCCGGTTTTTGTTACTGACGGCAGCTCAGTCGCATCAGTTTAGTGAAATAATCTCGTGTGTGCACAAGACACCTTAGCTGTATCATTCGAATTATGTATAACTTGAGTGTTCAGTACAATTCTCCATGTAATTCTCGACTGACTGCTTTTAAATGGAACTACTACTGGAATACCAATAACTTGGGCACACATTTTAGTGCTTGTAGCTTATACATTATCAGGAAACACCAGCAACCGATTATCCTCTCAAAAAGTACACACAGTTGATAATCAGAATGATAATAGAGTTTCTTGACTAGTTGAAAATTGAAGGCTTTTCGTTAAAAAGTTTCCAAGAGGATGTCATCCCGTGTACACAGTACATGATACAATGACTTAAAAAGGCAAAGACAAGAAAATAGTATAAGACAGAAATCTAAAGGGTTCTAGTCTTTATGTCCAAGGAGGAGTGTTTCAATCTAAACATTGACACCAAAAGATACCAAAGAGGTTTACTTTCATTAATTTTTAAACAATCTACCTTGCTATCATGTCTTTAACCGATCTGCCCAAAAATACCACAAATTTCAAATCTAGCACCAAACTTCCCAAACTGGACAATGAATAAGTAACATTTCCACTCACAAACCCTCCCCCTAACATATGGCATTAACACCTAAAGTACGGTGCTACTTTTTGGATGCTTCTGATAACAACCATTAACAGGCTGCGCTGCTCTTTTAACCAATCTCCAGCCACACTCAGCACTGCTAGGTGGCTTCCCTTTCTGACTATTATGTGAGGTCAATGCTTACATACGTTGAAAAATATTTTTCTTCTATAATAAACACATGGATGTATCCTCATTATTATCGCAGAACAACAGAACATTACCTACCTTTATTTTTGCGTTCTCTAGTCTTCGCAAGTGCTACAGCAACTTTAGCTCCAACAAGTGCATTGTTCTTCACCAGTGCAATGTCTATGTTGGTTAAGAAACTGAGTTGATAAATCAAACATATGCAAAAAAATTTAAATGACATTTTATGAGAGTTTCACTTTAAGAAACACTCCAATGTTCCTTAGGATTGGATGAGTCAACGCCATATGTTAGGAGTTAGAAAATGAATATATCATTGTTGTGCAAAGAAGAATATATAAAGGATACTTGAAGCCAATGAAGCTCCTCCCGTTAGCTCATTCACTCTCTTGAGCAAGAATGGAGTTGCATCATTTCCTATTATGTTCTTATCCCTGAGAACACAACTTCAATTAGTACTGATTAAAGATAACATTTCACTGAAGATTACTCATGGCAAGAAAACAACATTTTACCTAGCTTCGTCAAGGGCTCTCTGTATTGCAGACTCAATTAAACTTCCAGAAGCTGAGTGCTCTTTAGGAATTGGAACAGCAATCAAAATCCCACCTCCAAGCTCAAGTTTCAGATTTGCATCTATAAAGAAAATATATGTGTGAGAACTGAGAAAGGAGTATTAATGTAAGTTTTACATATAATTACAAGGAAGAAAGATAACTTGATTTGTAACTTGCCTATAAGCTGAGCACAGTCTTCTGGGGTATCTAAACGGCAAGGCACCTAGATTACAGGTAATGATTGAATAAAAGAAATAACAAAAAAATTAGTCAAATACATATTTGAACTAAATTATGTTACCTTATGAACCTGTAGACATAATTGGTGCAACCCTTTAAAGCTGTTTTTGCACACGTACTTCTTACATACCATGTGTTATCACCACAAAGTTTTCTATATTTGACACTTAGTTTAACAAAGTAAAATGATGATTCTCTAGTTCTAACAGTGGCCCATTTTTCTATAAGTAGAGGATTGAATCTATCCTCATCCCATCCCTCCCATGCCAAATGGATTAAGGTTCGTGAGCCTACAGTTTGACCATTTTGATCGCACTGATAGAGAGGCTGACACCCATTTTAATTGAGGGACAACTTTGCATCCTACTAAGGAATATGGTAATAGGGATGATTCGATACATCTAGCTTATCATTTTCCAGCCATCAAGTGATAAAATGAAATCAACACTACGTGGATGGCCTTCATTCCACAATTAGTTGAAGCACCATTTTTGAACACGAATTTGATTAAACAGATAAAAGAAAAGAGCAAGAACATTGGACACACCATTGTTGTTATAAGGAGAAAAATAACACTTTCAAAGAGTTGACGATCAATACCTTACAACCACTCGTTTCTGTAAAAAATGCTGGAAATTCGTTGGTCCTATAAGCAGCAACGCAAACTCCCTGAGTCTCCTACCTCAGAAAAAGGTTAAAAAAAACAGTTATTTATAGCTCATAATCTGTATGACTTACTTCTAATGATATAAATGAGATACTTAGTGCTAACCAAATATTCAAGGGTCCTTGGGATATCCAATATCGATTTTACACCAGCAGAGATGACAGCTACTGGTGTCCTTCCAAGCTCAGTAAGATCAGAAGATATGTCCATTGCTGCAAAAAGGAAGAAATAAAATTTTATATCATTTCATCCCATTATCACCGTAACTTTTTGTAAGTCAGCGGTGCCAACATGTTTGTGCATGTTAAGTTGTGCAAGAATTATTTTCATTTCTACATGAGCCAAATATGCGACTTACATGACAATAAAAGAGTCTTAGTTTCAAAGATTATGCTTTCAACAGTATAGGGTTAGTTCAATTTTTAATTAAGCTCTTACAGGTGGCTGTAACTGCAGGGGCAGTAGTTGAGTTTCACAAAACTTAGTCATACTTTTATATTCTCCCTTAGTTAACTCTGCACTGGGGTTTTATCTAAATTTTAGTACTTGTGATATTTCCTTGGGAATCAAGTTACTAACTTAGTACTGACCTTGTAGCCCTAATAGGAAAAGGTAGTTTAATGTTAAAATATGCTTCTTTATACCTAAAGACTTATCATTGTGATAAATGGATATTCACTATGCTGAGTGTGCAACATATGTGAATGGAGTCGGTATACTTTCATAAATTTGTTAATGTTCACAGCCCTACAGCCCTTAAAACTCATAAATTGCCACCTTCCTGCACAAGCCGTAAATACAGATAACTAGAAAACCATAACCCTAAACCTCTCAACCATCTGTATAAGACCTAACTATCCCAAAAGCAAGACACATAGGTTCCTAATCTCTCCTACATTAGTTCTTTTGCCTACTGCACTGCTTACTGTGCTCCAGTATAGATCATTTGGTGGACCATAAACCCATGTAAAGCAGAAGCTATATGATTTGGCTTGCAATAAGAAGAAAAAATTGCTAGTGTACACATTAGGAATATGCTGTGTGTAGTCATGACTACTAATATCCAAAAGCACTGGCGGACATATGGACAAATTCAATTTCTCTCATGAACTGTCAGTAATTCTATGCAGTGTTAAACTTACTATGCTCGCCATGTCTATGTACTCCTCCAATTCCTCCAGTAACAAACAATGGGATGCCAACCTTCAAGACATCCAGGTATTAAGTATTAACAAAACATACATTAATATTACAACACGAAGTAAACAACAACATAGTCCTTCAGGAAAGCTTATAAGCGACTAATTACCATGGAAGCAAAAAACATGGTTGCAGAAACAGTAGTTGCTCCAGTCCCTCTGGTTGCCACCTAGACAAGAGTCAGCACATCCTCTTGTTAAATTTAGCATTAGAATTACCATGAAAAAACAATGACGATGGTTGTGGAATTCCATTTGTCAGAAATTTCTTGAATGTACATGATAACAGAGTAACTCCGCTGTGTAAGTTTATCTTACATTGCCGGTCCCAAGCCCGGATAAAGGAGGAGGGGGAGGGCGTCAGGTAGTCGACAGCCGGCACTCCATGATTAGGTCGAATCCTTATGAAAATGAATCCAGAACGAAATCGCGCTAAAGCTAGGGCGTCACCCGTAAGTGGCGCGCTGTGTGGCCCGAGCATAGTGATAAGTGAGCAAGGGTCGCTGTATCTCCATCGGCACCCGGATGCAGTGTTAAATGAGCAAGGGGGCTATAGAAACTTCTTTTCGAACGACTCCACTCAAAGTTGTTTGGGAGCATATGCTCCTATCAACTTTACACGGGACACATAAAAGAAGTACTTTGATCCTATTAGACGGGGAAGGGTGAAGAAGCTAGGACAGAAGGGTAGAGTTCAAGAGAGCAAAATGCGTTTTGGAACGTGGAATATAGGAACCTTGACGGGAAAATCTATGGAAGTAGTACAAGTTATGGTGAGGAGAAGGATAAATATTATGTGCCTACAAGAAACTAAGTGGGTTGGTCGTAAGGCAAAGGATCTAGAAAACTCAGGGTTTAAACTATGGTATTTCGGGCACAAATAGAACGAGAAAACGGTGTTGGCATCATCGTGGACAAGACCTTGACACAAGATGTTGTAGATGTCAAGAGGGTAGGAGATAAAATCATGGCAATCAAGATTGTAATAGGACAAGAACTTATCAATGTGATTAGTGCGTACGCACCTCAAGTAGGGTTGGATACGAGTTCGAAGGAGAAATTTTGGGAAGACCTTGGAGACTTGGTGCAAGGAATTGCTCAGACAGAGAAGTTATTTATAGGAGATTTAAATGGACACGTGGGCAGGGAGACATGCAACTATGGAGGTTTTCATGGTGGCCATGGTTTTGGGGAGAGAAACGAGGATGGGAAAGCTATCTTGGATTTTGCAATGGCATATGATCTCTTCTTAGCCAACACCTTCTTTAAGAAGAGAGAAGAACATGTGATCACCTACAAGAGTGGGTCGTCAAAAACACAAATAGATTTTCTTCTAATGAGGAAAGGGGATCGTATAACTTGTAAGGATTGCAAAGTTATACCAGGAGAGAGCGTGGCTAATCAACATCGCTTGTTGGTGATGGATGTACATATCAAAAGAGTGAGAAAAAAGAACAAGACTTGGAAGTGCCCAAGGACTAGATGGTGGAATCTAAAAGAAGAAAAACAAGCAATTTTCAAAGAGAAAGTAATCACCCAGTGTGTGTGGGATAGAGAGGGGGAAGCTAACCAAATGTGGGATTCCATGGCTAGTTGTATCCGAAAAGTAGCAAAAGAGGTATTAGGAGAGTCCAAGGGCTCTGCCCCACACCAAAAGGAATCTTCGTGGTGGAATGAGGAGGTACAAACAAAGGTGAAGACTAAGAAGGAATGTTGTAAAGCCTTATACAAGGATAGGACCGATGAAAATGGTGAAAGGTATAGAAAAGCGAAGCAAGAGGTGAAGAAAGCTGTGAGAAGCTAAGTTAGCGGCTTATGACGATATGTATAAGCGACTAGATACCAAAGAAGGAGAGTTGGATATCTATAAACTAGCTAGAGCAAGGGAAAAGAAGACAAGGGACCTAAACCAAGTGAGGTGCATCATGGATGAGGATGGAAAGGTTCTTGCTACAGAGAACGCGGTTAAAGACAGATGGAAATGTTATTTTCATAATCTTTTCAATGAAGGACATGAAATGAGTGCTTCTTTAGGGGAGTTGAGTACCTCAGAAGAGTGTAGAAACTACTCTTTTTATCGTAGAATCCGGAAGGAAGAAGTGGTTGTAGCTTTGAAGAAGATGAAGCATAGAAAAGCAGTAGGCCCAGACGATATACCAATTGAAGTGTGGAAAGTTTTGGGAGAGACAGGTATAACATGGCTCACTGACCTTTTCAATAGGATTTTGAAAACGAAGAAGATGCCAAATGAGTGGCGAACGAGCACTTTGGTGCCTATCTACAAGAATAAGGGCGATGTACAAAATTGCATGAACTATAGGGGTATTAAGCTAATGAGTCATACAATGAAGCTCTGGGAGAGAGTCATTGAGCATAGATTGAGGCAAGAGACATGGGTTTCGGACAATCAATTCGGGTTCATGCCAGGGCGCTCAACCATGGAGGCAATCTATCTCTTACGAAGATTGATGGAAAGATATAGAGATGGGAAAAAGGATTTACACATGGTCTTTATAGATTTGGAAAAAGCGTATGATAGGGTCCCAAGAGACATTCTTTGGAGGATTTTAGAGAAGAAAGGAGTACGAGTAGCATATATCCAAGCTATACAGGATATGTATGAAGGAGCAAATACGGACGTAAGAACTCATGAAGGACAAACCGAAAGCTTTCCCATAACTGTAGGATTACATCAAGGCTCATCCTTAAGTCCTTACCTTTTTGCGTTGGTAATGGATGAGTTAACAGGACATATTCAAGATGATATTCCTTGGTGTATGCTTTTCGCAGACGATATATAGTGTTGATAGATGAAAACTCAGGAAGGGGTAAATGCAAAGCTTAACCTTTGGAGAGAAGTGTTGGAATCTAAAGGTCTTCGCCTAAGCCGATCAAAGATAGAATATATGGAGTGCAAGTTCAGTGCAAATGGAGGCCAAAACGAGTTAGGGGTGAGGATCGGAGATCAAGAAATACCAAAGAGCGACCGTTTTCGTTACCTAGGATCTATCTTGCAAAAGAACGGAGAATTAGATGGAGATCTCAACCATAGAATACAAGCTGGATGGATGAAGTGGAAGAGTGCATCCGGCGTGTTGTGTGATCGCCGTATGCCACTGAAGCTCAAGGGAAAATTTTATAGGACGGCAATAAGGCCGGCGATGCTGTATGGCACAGAATGTTGGGCGGTGAAGCATCAACACGTACACAAAATGGGTGTAGCGGAGATGAGGATGCTTCGTTGGATGTGTGGGCACACGAGAAAGGTTAAGATTAGGAATGAGGATATCCGGGGTAAAGTAGGAGTAGCTGAAATTGAAGGAAAGATGAGAGAAAATCGGTTACGGTGGTTTGGACATGTGCAAAGAAGGCCTACTGACGCTCCGATTAGAAGATGCGACTATGGGACAGAGGTTCAGGGCCGAAGGGGTAGATGAAGACCTAGGAAAACTTTGGAAGAGACCCTAAGAAAAGACTTAGAGTACTTGGATCTAACGGAGGACATGACAAAGGACAGAATACAATGGCGTTCTAAGATTCATATAGCCGATCCCACTCAGTGACTTGGATTTTCCAAGTCTCCAACCGAGAAGTTTTCCTCACTCGGGAAATTAAGGGAACACTACCTCAACCTACATGCTCCACTCACAAAGCTTCAACATACAAGCTTCAACAAAAGAAAATTCAAAAAACTTAGCGAAGAAGGCTTTGGTGTATTTAACACAATACGTTGAAATGAAGGAAAGCTTATTTATTGATATCCCCGATAAGTTACAAATATGTACATATACTTGAGTCAAAATAAACAAACAAGAGGGAGCCTTCACAAAGGTTGCTTAGGAGAAGTCTCAGCAGTCGGTAGAGCCCCAGAAAGAGAAGGCACCGAAGGGGGATCATTCGGAACCTCAGTACTGGACAGAACCCTAGAAGGAGGAGGCATCAGAGGTTGATCATTTGGAGCTTCATTACGCGGTACAGCCCCAGAAGACGAAGGCAATAAATGCCTTTGGAACAAACCCACAAATCTCTGATGATCAAGTAAAACCTGACCATCAGATTCCTTCATCTGGTCAAGCTTCCTCTTCATGTTTGTAGCATAGTCATGTGCGAGCCGGTGCAACTGTTTATTCTCATGCTTGAGCCCTCTAATCTCTCCTGTTTGAGACTCATCACTTCAGCCGCCAATGATTCAACTTGGCGGGTTCGAGCAAATAGGCGTTGGGCCATATTAGACACAGAACCTGCACACTGAACACTGAGAGCCAGAGAATCCTTAACAACCAACTCATCAGACCGTTTGGAAAGTAGTCTGTTATCTTTGGGAGTGAGAAGGTTCCTGGCCACTACCGCAGCGGTCATATCATTCTTCATCACGGAATCCCCAACGGTAAGAGGACCAGTAGGGGAGACGAAGGATGGGCGCCATATGTTGTCTGGAGAAGGCGGGGCTGCCTCTTCAACAAGGTTCAAGTCAAAACGACGGTCGAAGGGGCCAGACATTTTCAAAGGTGTTGAAGAGAGAAGAGGTCGGACAAATCAAGATCTTAGAAGTGCAAGAATGGAGCTTCTACTGGTGGATATTCAAGTGTGCTTTGGAACTTAATGTCAGCCCCTATAAAAATCTGCACTCGACGAAGCTTCAGAAATTGAAGAGGCGCCTGCTCAGAAATCGAAGAGGCGTTTGCTTTCTCAAAAGCTGGGCTGCTCAGAGACCACGAGGGTCGATCTCAGAAATCGAAAAGGCGTTTGCTTTCTCAAAAGCTGGGCTGCTCAAAGACCATGAATGCCGATTTCAGAAATCGAAGAGGCTTGCTTTCTCAAAAGCTGGGCTGCTCAAAGACCACGAGGGCCGATCTCAGAAATCGAAGAGGCACCTACTTTTCCAGCCTTGTCAGCACCTGTCACACGCACACTCAGCTTTGCGGAAATTATGGGCATTCTGTCGAAGATTTCTGGCGAAGTAGAAAGCACATGAATCGTACTGTTCAATCACCCACTTCCCACACGCAACAGTAGCTCATGGGTACCACAGATAACTTTGCCAAAGTTCTCTGACAAAGTTGAGACACGTGAAGCTTGCAGCTCCCACTACATCGCTCTAACCAAGGGTAAAAGAATAGCAAAGAAACAACACTAACAAAGTTTAGACACATAAATTTTAAAAGTCTAGCTACCATATTATTACCCACAAGGGTAAAGGAACAGTACCACTGCTGGATAATTGGAAAGTCCCGATGTGTCAACCTCTGTGCTTCGTGGCAAGGTAGACTAGCAAACATGCCCAACCTTTACTCACATTCGAGAAAACACTCCCAACAAGATTGCTTGCTCCAAAATCGAAGAGGCACCGCCCTCCGAATCTCGAGAGCCAGACTCCCAACATGATTACTTTCTCAAAAATCGAAAAGAGGGTAAAGGAACAGTACCACTGTTGGATAATTGGAAAGTCCCTGTGTCAACCTCTGTGCTTCGTGGCAAGGTAGACTAGCAAACATGCCCAACCTTTACTCACATTCGAGAAAACACTCCCAACAAGATTGCTTGCTCCAAAATCGAAGAGGCACCGCCCTCTGAATCTCGAGAGCCAGACTCCCAACATGATTACTTTCTCAAAAATCGAAGAGAGGGTAAAGGAACAGTACCACTGCTGGATAATTGGAAAGTCCCTGTGTGTCAACCTCTGTACTTCGTGGCAAGATAGACTAGCAAACATGCCCAACCTTTACTCACATTCGAGAAAACACTCCCAACAAGATTGCTTGCTCCAAAATCGAAGAGGCATCGCCCTCCGAATCTCGAGAGCCAGACTTCCAACATGATTACTTTCTCAAAAATCGAAGAAACACCGCTCCCCGAATCTCGAGAGCCAGACCCCCAGCAGGATTGCTTTCTCAAAAATCGAAGAGGCATCGTTCTCCGAATCTCGAGAGCCAGATCCCCGACAGGATTGCTTGTTTGAAAACCGAAGAGGCACCACTTTCCCAACTTCAAGAGCTGGATCTCCTTGAATAAAGCTTGTCTGTAATCTTCACACGCAACATCAGCTTTCCAGATACCATAGACCACTTTTTCAAAGTGCTCTGACAGAGTTAAAACATGTGAAGTTGGCAGCTCCCACTACCGTGCTATGACCAAGCAGGGTAAAGGAATAGCATTATTACTTGATGTTAGGGAGACTCCTATATATGTCAACCTCCATCCCCAACGGACAGGCAGACCTGCAAAAATGCTCAACCCTTCCTCTTATCTGAGAGGGCACTCCCAACGAAGCCTTTCGAAATATTCAGCTTTCTTTCCCCCCGATAATACCTCTGTAAACAAGATATACTAGAGCAAGAATATCTCATATCATCAGGGTTAAAAGCAAGAGTATCCCATATCATGCTTTTTCCCTGTCTTTTCCTTTGGCCTTGTTCTTACCTGCAAGACAAGGAGAAAGAGAGCAATCAAGCTTCCAGCCAGGAACTGACTGCCTGGAACCCCTTACCTGATTACTTACCTGGCATTGCTCTCGAGTACTCATCTTCAACATCTTATGCTTCCAGGGAAGATACCGCATCTACCTGAGGAACAGATAGGGCAAGTGAGAAGCATACAAGGAAGCATGTGGAGACAAGCGTAACAGCACACGTGCCGATACATCCACTACTCTGTCAAAAGCAAAAGTATCCCATATCAGCAGGGTCGAACGTACTCTAGATTTGATGGACTTGTTTTGACCCTCAAATTCTTCAGTCGGCCTAATACTCTGGAGGAAACCAGAAAACCCTCCAGCCCAGTTCAAGAATAAGCCTGTGGAAAGTTACTTCTTCAAAAGCAAAAGTATCCCATATCATCTCTTCTCATTTTTCTTCTCTTTATCCTTCATGCTGCCTGCAAGATAGGGAGAATGTGAACAATCAGCCGGAGCTCTGATTGCTTACCTTGTCTGTCACCTCTTTCAGCAGATCCCCTAGCTCGGCGACTTGGGGGACTCCTACTACATGGTTTGTATCGCGCTTGACCAAGCCTGAAACTACAAGTAAGCTTCAAGTGAAATTGATACATTACCTTGTGCATCTCCACCAGTTACAGATACCACCCCTGGATGGAGGAATAGTACCTCCAGAGAAGATGCCACATCTACCTATGAGACAGATAAGGCAAGTCAAGACGATACCACACTCCGGTACTTAGAAGTTTCGTGGTTACGAGATCATTCTCCCACAATATTTCCTAATGTCATTTGTACTAAATCATTCACTTGTACTCACTAAAGGAGAGCTTGAACCTATGTACTTGTGTAAACCCTTCACAATTAATGAGAACTCCTCTATTCCGTGGACGTAGCCAATTTGGGTGAACCACGTACATCTTGTGTTTGCTTTCCTATCTCTATCCATCTATATACTTATCCACACTAATGACCGGAGCAATCTAGCGAAGATCACAAAAAGTGACCGTTTTCGCTACCTAGGATCTATCTTGCAAGAGAACGGAGAATTAGATGGAGATCTCAACCATAGAATACAAGCTGGATGGATGAAGTGTAAGAGTGCATCCGGCGTGTTGTGTGACCGTCGTAGGCCACTGAAGCTCAAGGGAAAATTTTATAGGACGACAATAAGGCCAGCGATGTTGTATGGCACAGAATGTTGGGCGGTGAAGCATCAACACGTACACAAAATGGGTGTAGCGGAGATGAGGATGCTTCGTGGGATGTATGGGCACACGAGAAAGGATAAGATTGGGAATGAGGATATCCGAGGTAAAGTAGGAGTAGCCAAAATTGAAGGAAATATGAGAGAAAATCGGTTCCGGTGGTTTGGACATGTGCAAAGAAGGCCTACTGACGCTCCGGTTCGAAAATGTGACTACGGGACAGAGGTTCATGGCCGAAGGGGTAGAGGAAGACCTAGGAAAACTTTGGAAGAAACCCTAAGAAAAGACTTGAGTACTTGGATCTAACGGAGGACATGACACAAAACCGAGCGCAATGGCGTTCTAGGATTCATATAGCCGACCCCACTTAGTGGGAAAAAGCTTTGTTGTTGTTGTTGTTGTTGTTGTTGTACATGATAACAGAGTAGGGAACCCCTTAACTATGTGGCTATGAAGGCTATTTTATGGATACACCAGCATAATAATAAAAGATGGCTAGCAAACACTTTTCCAGAAGCAAGTGCAATGCCACTGATTGAAGCCTACCAAAATGAATATTTTCCGCACAGTCTAGTCACTAAAAGCATAAAGGTAAAGTTAGAGAGCCAGATTTGAAAAAACAGCATTCTTTTCTCTCTTTAATAAATGGCGGTTAGGTATTGAGGCATCTTTTCATGAATTATGCCGGTGTAAATTTGCCACTTCAGGTATGTGTTCTAATATCCCCATATATTGGTTCCAGCACAAATGAAAATATGAAACTAAGAGCAGTCAACATGATGAATTGACTAGATTTGCTAAAACTAACAGATACAGTAAGTGCCATGCATCAATTACTCACAACATGTGCAATATCCCTTCGAGCTGTCTTCTGAGCTTTATGACCCAGATTGGCAAGCTTCTCCAATTCTTCCATACTCAGACCTACAAAAAGAAATCAAAAGAAAAGGCGGAATCAAGTCAACAAGAATCCCCTACAGTAGCATTGTCTAACAAGAATTTTCTTAGCAGATGAGTCTTAACCATAGCGTTAGAATACTCTATACTTTTTTCTCAATTCAAAAGGCTGAAGCGTTGATAAAAGCTTTCAATGAATTGGGGGACCTATTTTAACTTGGTTGTGTGCTAAAACTTGACAAACAGGGTAGCTTGTCAAGTTACAACTACCTTATTGGACAATATCTGTGCAAGTAAATTTGTAATCTTATTTGTTTGGAGGGTGTCACCAACCGACGCAGTTAAGATCAGTGCACCAAAACTCACTCGGTAGAATTATTTTTCGATTCAGTGAGAGAAAACATAGCACAATCATAAGAAGGCGTAGAATTAACATAAGCCACCGCTCCAAGCCTACAAGTTCATCTAGAAAGCAGAAGAACAAAGTTGAATATAAACACCTATGCAAGGTATGCCATCCAAAATAGCAACAGTGGCAGGAACAGCTCCATTTTCCCTCACAACTGCCTCAACCTCCTTTGCTGTTTCCAAGTTCTTAGGATACGGCATCCCTGAACACCAGAAGAAAAACAAAAAATTCACAGTGGCAGTTCCTCACATACACACAAAAACACCATCCTTCAACATATCACACACATTCAGCTATCAATACATGGCCAATCTCCTGTTTCCGCCACTCAAAACCGCAACCATATATTTGGAGTATTGCAAACTGCCGTGTACGATGTATCGAAGATAAAATGAATTATGATACCGTATGCAAAAACCCAATTGGGTTTCGTTCAGAATGTTACTACAAACTCAATAGCAGAGGACAGTAGATCAAAAAAATATTTAACTGACAGTACAATGGATTACGCAATTACCATTAATTTTAATACAAGCGAAATTACTGCTTTAACTCAGACTAGGGTAGGGGGAGGATTTGAACCAGGGACACAATGCGTTGAAGAAGAAGAAGAAGAAGAAGAAGAAGAAGAAGAAGAAGAAGAAGAAGAAGGAGGAGGAAGGCCCCGGCACCAGGGCAATCCACCACTTGCATTACGCAATTAGTTTCTGTGTGTGTGTGTAGAGAAAGAGACAGAGAGAGATTACCATGGGAAATAATGGTGGATTCGAGAGCGACAACAGCACGGCCATTGGACAAAGCGTCAGAAACCTCTGGAGAAATCTTGATTGATCCGATGCCACCCTTAAGGAAGAAAAGGAACAAAACTCTGACAGTGAAATTTGGAAGACAATCTAAATAGAGAGAGAGAGAGAGAGAGAGAGAGAGAGAGAGAGAGAGAGAGAGAGGAAGAAGAAGCAGAAGAGGAAGGAAGTTGGAATGTTACCTTGTCCAAATGCGAGGGATGGAGGTGTTTGCGGAGATTAGAGAGTCTTGAGATAGCAGCTGATGAAGAAGAAGAGGACGACGCCATACCCTGCTCCCCTTGCTGTGATGGTTTTCCCTACCGCACCACTTTGATTTCCACTACCCAAAAACCTTTTTTTTTTTTTTTTTCGAAAAGGATTTGAAAATTTGAGTTTTAATGATAATGGTAAAATAAATAGTATTAGATTGATTTTTTAGTGTAAAAATATGATTTTTTTTGTTAAAGTGAACAGTACTGAGAGCTTTTCGTTGAAGTTCCTTTTTTTTTTCCCAACTTATTAAGGACTGGTTTGGTATTGCTGTGCTTTGAAAAAAAAACTGATTCTGCTGTGCAGTGAGAATAAGCAGCAAAATGTTTGGTAAATTTTTTTGTAAAAGTGCTTTTGAAAAAAAAAATAGTATTATAGTGTTTGGTAAACTTTTATGTAAAACAACTGTGACTGTGTGAAATGATAAAAAAGAATATAATATTATATGTGCTATTAATTTAATTTTCTTAACAAACAAAGGTGAATTACTAAATATACTTTATTTTTAAAAGAAAAATAGTCATAAACTTTATGTTAAACATATAATCCAACGTATAACAAGAAATCATAATCTAACATTCAACATATAATCCAACATTTATGCTGCTTCACGTTTTCAGCTTTTTTTCAAAACTTATTTTTGTTGCCTCAAGTTTTCAGCTTTTTTTTCACTCAAAACTGTGAAAATAAGCTGCTTTTAAATGTTTACCAAACATCATTTTGAGCTCAGTTTTTTTTTTATACCCACTTTTCATAAAAGCCAAACCAGTACTAGTAGTCGATCACCACCCGCTATTGGATTTCCAAATTTTCATCCGTTTTTTTGTTCAAATCTATCACGTGGCCAAACACACCCTCCATGGATAACGGTGCTTCTTTCTCCTCCTCCAATCATCTGGCGACCCCTTCCGTAGGGACATCTGCCTCGGCCCTTTTTTGTGTGAATATCTTGTGAAATGATGGTGCTTCGGAGCGGTCAAGATTGGATTTTGGGATTTGGTTGTGTGACTTGTTTGAGGTGGGTGTGGCTTCTAGTGGAGGAGACAATTGCAAGAAGGATTGTGGGTGACCTCCTAACTTTCTCTAGAGATGGTGGATGCTATAAACTGTTTTACCCTAATTCGTGTAGCATGTGCTTGGCACTGTGAATAATTCTAACAGAAAAATGACAATTTTGAAAATGTAAAGGGTGGTAATCAAGTGTTAGTAAAAGTTTAAGGGCGTAGTTGACTAAAATAAAAGTTTAGAAAGTTAATTGGCAGTGGAATACAAGTTTAGGGAGAATCGACAAATACCTCTTGTCAAATTAATAAGAGGTTTCTAAAGTAAAAAGCCTTATTACTATTCAATGAGGCTTATTTTTAGCTACACCATATGGAACTCTATTTTTATCTCACTTTGCCCACTATAACTCAAAAGTCATCACTTTATTCCTTGAAACTCAAAATTGCGAACTCTCTCATCTCCCTGAAACTTTTATGCCGCCTAAACATATGTTGGACTACCCAAGAAGATTATGTCACATGTGCAATAAATTTGATTATAAATTTCCATTATGTGTTAGTATTCAACAATTAGAGAATATTGGGTTTAAAAGAAATTGAAGAGATGAAAAAAAAATAAAAAAGAAATTGATTAGCCTAACTCACCCAAATCAAACCCACATAAGAAATTAATAAATCTAAAGCAATGTGGAGTGAATTTTAAGAGACAACTTTCAAATTTCAAGGGGCAAACTAGGAAAATAATCTAGTTCGAGGGGTAAAGTGAAGCAAATTTTGAGTTTTAGGAAGAAAAGTGGGGACTTTTGAGTTACATGGAGCAAAGTGAGATTAAAAGAGTTCCAGAAGGCGTAGCTAAAAATAAGTCATTCAATAATTATAAGGATATTTTTGGTGAAAAGTCTATAAAGGGTTAAACATTTTTCTTGATTTCTCTTATGTCATTATTCCATTCATCATGACGAGGTCCACAATTACAAACATTTTTAATCTTAAGCTTGAATTATTATATGTCATTTTGCATGATGCTACAGTGAAATATACTTATGTTACTTTTCATATTTTGCTTATTTGATGCCATCACTTTTATGCTTCCATCACATTGTTGATGTTATGCAGTTCTTCTGTCAAATATGCAAATATTGTTCATTTCCTTCTAGTTCTGCCTCCATTTCTCTATCTTATTTTATCTTGTTATAAGTATTTGATGTTTTTCATTTGCAATTTTGAGGCTTCTAGTAGAGCTGATGAGGGACATTTGTCTTGATGTAGATATACATTTCTCCTTCTTCTGCTACTAATATCATATCATACTTAAAAATCTTCAAACTCGTCTATAACTAACATAAGGATTTCTCGATATCTAAGAATATTTTGATGTGAATGAGTTTCATCTATATTGTGATATAGAGGACTGTCTAAAAGATTATTCATTAATCATGGCTATACGCCTAACTTTTTCCTTATAAATATGGATACACCAATCTAGTAGACTGCTAATAAAGCTTGTTCAAATTTCTTACCAAACTTCTAAGTATACTTCTACTACTTTTAAAGCTTAATATTGAATAATTCTAATTGAGAACTATGGTTAATAAATATTTTATCAAGATAACCAAACTCTAATAGTAAGGCTTGAGTAACTAACTTCTACTATATTATGCTTTTCTTTATGTTCATAACTAAAATACTATGATCAATCCTGGCCAAAGTTATATTAAATTTGGTCTACAAGAACAACTATAGTATTACAAAGACATGGTGAATATATCTTTGTAGTAATATCCATCTCTGGTTTTGGATGAAAGATTGGAACTAATATGAAGCACATTGTAGTTGTAATTGTAGTTCTTGCATAGACTGTGATGCTTTGTTCAGGATCTCAAATTGCATATCCATTGACAATATTCTTAATTTTGCTTTTGATATTTTTTTTAATAAGATATCATCGTCTATTATTTCTAATGATACAGTTCTAATAAATTTGTCAGACTTTTGTTTGATGTTGCTTCATCTTATTATCTTTTTTCTTCTTAAGTTTGATGTTGCTTCATCTTATTATCTTTTTTCTAAAAGCTCAATCCTAACTTCTCTATCTTCAATGGGCTCAGTAGCCTCTTTTTCTTTATTGGTGGGTTAAATAACCTCTTTTTCTTTACTGGTGGGCTTAGTAGCCTCTTTTTCTTTATTGGTGGGGTTAAATAACCTCTTTTTCTTTACTGGTGGGTTCAATAACCTCTTTATTCTTATGTTGATCAGTTTCTAGGCTAATTTTCAATTCTCTTTTAGGGTGTTTCTTGCCTTCTACTACAATCTAAGAGGTTGAAGTTCTTGGTTCATCTTAATGAATTGGTTAATCAATGCCTCATAATCTCCAGAAAGGGCTTTGAGGTTGTGTTCAAGGGTATGAATATGATGCTGGCTTCGATGAAAATTAAAATTAAAACTATTAAACTCTTGTTCTAAAGCTCTAATTATTTTCTCATGTCCTAGCCTTATGCTCAACTGTTTAATTTGAACATTCCAAAAGTTATCTAAGAGAACCTGTTGCCTATCAGTGAGACATAGTACTCTTGTCATGTACCTTAGAGTGAGATTTTTTATTCCTCCAACTATAGTGCTATTAAAGTTAAAGGTGGATACTGGCAATGATGCTATACTACTGAAAGGTACTCTTTTCCTTGTGGTCTTGTACTGTTTAAGGATGATGGTCCATGATATTGTACTCATGTTTAATGAATAAGTATTGATAAGATATCAGCTAAAGTATTATCACTACTTTTGATATGTTCAAAAATTGGTTTAAAATCATTCCCCTATAATTGAAAATGAAGTTGACTCATCTTCGGATTGTCTGTTTGTTAGTATTATCTTATTGTAATGAGATACTATAATTTGACAATATGTTCTTATTGTAAATACTTCATTATGTAAAATAAAGAAAATGTTTCAATTGAATTCAGAATTCCTAAAATTTCCAAATCTGTTGCTGGTAATCTTGACTGTATATCCCTAAACTTCCTAACAAATATCCACAAACTTGTTCATCTGACTTTGGTGATTACTTATGTTTTTCTCTGGTATACTATTCAAGGCCATCCTAATGATGAAGCATCTGTTTCAACTATCTTCTAACTATCATCTAATGACAATATTAACGGCTTAAGCTTAATAATTTTTTGCTTTATATTTTAAACTAATTAATATTCTCACTATGAAAATATTTTTGTCCAGTTTCAATATGTAATACTGTTATTTTTCTTCCTAAAACTTTCTTAACCATATGATCTTAAAACTGTATAGTGCATGACTTAATATACATTTCTAAAAAATTTATATCTTGTTTTTCTAATGCTACTTTATTTTTTTAATAACAATTCTATTATTGATAAATTCTTGTAAAACTATATCTAAGTGTTTCCTATGTTCATTTCTATTTTTACTATGACTAAAATATCATCTACATAAACACTAAAAAATTATCATATATCTTGAAAATTTGGTTCATCATTCTTTGGAAGATCGATGGAGCATTTTTTAATCCAAATGGCATAACTAACCACTTAAAATATCATTTTGGACAAGTAAAAGTTGTCTATTCAATTTATAATAACCCCAAACTTAAAACTAACTAAAAAAAAAAAATACCACAAATTTAAAATTTGACACCACTATTCTCCAAATTGGTCATGGGACTAAGCAATATATCTAGACCTAGCATTCGTGTCGTGTTTTTCGTGTTCGTGTCGTTTTCGTGTCATACCCGATATTTTAACGGGTCGTGTCATGTAACACCCGTTAAAATAAAAGAGTAAAATGACCCAACCCGAAATCGACCCGATAATATTAACAGGTAATATGACCCGACCCGTTATCCGTTAAGGAAAATATATTCTAAACCAATAAATAATCAAATGAAAAACATAATACTAAATAAGTATATACATACCATATTATCACATCCAAAACATAAAACACATTTTTCTTTTAAGTATATTTTCACTTACTTAAAGTTTTTAATAGTTTTTTAATTAATGTAGAAGTGTAAAAAAATATAGAAAAAATATATAAACGCTCATTATGACAAGC